TCTTACTACTGTACTGCCCATCACTCTATTAAAACACCTTGCAACTTTTTCTATAATTTTCAAAAAAATCAAATAGAACAAAATCCCACAAACACACTCTTTGGCTGATATATTAGATGGATTCAGTCCAACTACGACCCATCTATGGAGGTTTGACCAGATATGTACACCTGTGTGCTTTCTGGGGAAATGCTTAGTTCCTCCGAGTTCAAATGAACCCCGAATAGGCCAGGGGCCCCACTCTTACTTCATGGTGGCCAAGGCAAATACAGTATGTTGTGTTTTCCTACTTATTGATGATTGTACATACAGTAATATTGTGACTGCGAACAATGGTACCATTATGTTACGTGCTGTATAACGACGTTCCGCAAACTATGGTCCGCGGAAAGAAAATAACAAAGAGACGTTTTATCATGGAGAAAATAGTTTTTAATAAAGCCGCTTCATTGATACAGCGAATGCGTCGCTTGCACACGCTGCTAAAGTGCCAGATGATGCGTGCTATTTTAGTTATAAGCGGTTTTTGTGTCTATGCCCCCTCGGGAGCCTTTATCTATGTATATTTATTACTGATAGTTCTAGTATGCAACATTATTTTCAATAAATAAATATACTGTAAATATACCTTTTTAAAGCATTAAATACATGTCAAACGCGGATCCAAAATTTACCCTGGATACCGCACAGATGGGTTCCCATATTGAGATAGTCACGAGAAGAGAGCTTACTGTAGCTTGTTTTGTTGCTAGAAGATAAATTTTAGATATTCGAAAAATTTTTGTTTTCTAGATTCTTTTAAAAATACACTTCGTGCATTATGAAACGTCTATTATTGAATACCTTTGAATTCATAGTTTTTCGCTACTTTGCTATGGACAATTATTAATAATTATGATGATGAAGAAGATGATGATGATGAGGAGGAAGCTGTGCAAGATTAATTAACAGGCCCTTTGATGTGAAGTGTCAAGCGAGGCCCGTAGCCTTAAGTTACAGTTGGGATTTTGGAGACATTATCGTCGTCGTCAAATGTTCAATGCACACAGTCGGACAGTAGATGAATTTATGATATCTGTTTTGTATAGAAAGTAATCTGAAACCCATAAAATATCAGTTCAGGCATTCATTTATCTGTCTGTGGAAAACATAACATATGAATCATACAAAATAAAAAAAATTCAAATAAAATTAAAAATATGTAAAAAAACATCTACACTAAATCAAAATG